AAGCATAATTTTTTGAGCCAAGTAAAGGTTCGTCTTGTGGACAAATCTCGATTGCCTGCCGAAAAGTTCACAACAAAGAACGATGGAATTAGCATAAGAGTTCGTAGGGGATCGGAAAATTTGACGACCAGGCGTGTTGACCATTCTGAAACATTCAAACCTTTCAGAGATCATTCAAATATATTGGAAATCGGTGAGACAAAAACCAGAAACCAACCAAGAGTGTCTCACAATTGCGGCACGTCCGATGATCAAAACTCCTTTACTCCACCTCGTGGATCGAAAACGAGAAACCAACCAAGAGTTTCTCTCAATGGCAATGATCAAGACTCATTTACTCGATCTCGCGAATCGAATTGGTTGCATGATATGTTCATGTCTGGTATTAATTGGTTAATACAGAAAATAACTTAGATTGGTAAATTATCATTACGAGAGAAAATAGAAACCATTGAATGGAACATACCAGATTCAGTATTTTTAATGCGCAACCAATGCTATGTAAGGGATGGTTAAGTTTGAAAGGGGCCGGGATCTTCCCGGTTCGGGAATGCCTGTGCAATTTATTGTGTACTCCCGTAGTGTGTGTACCAGGTTTGGGTTAGGCCAAAATTTCATTCTTATTTTTCTCATTTTGGTTCAATTACAAGTCGGTGTCTGGGTTAGCCAAGTTAATATATCCCCTGCCCATAGGTTTCAGTCCCTTCACACAACTTGATGTAAAATAGGCGAACAAAATTAGTTAACTTACCTCCATATTGGTACACATACTTCTGGAGCGCCGCGGATTGTGTTGGCGGAACCGTGGCTAAAAAGGACTGGTCAAAACCTTGTTTCCAGATAATTTAGTGAAATTCCTCATTAAAAATTAGAAATATATACAAGGTGCACAATTTCAAACATTGTTATTACATTGTAGTTGCATTGCGTATGCCTAAAGAGAGGCACAGTTATTACCACCTCATGGCGGCTTCTGCCACGAACGAACCGCGGCGTCTCTTGCCAAGCTTTTAAGGCGCTATTACCCATATGTTCACAAAGTCATGTACCAGATTTTAGATTATCATGCGGAATTATATCTACTTAAACCTGAAATCTAACCACAAATCTATCATAAGGACAATGTTCCGACATATCCAAAGTTTGTCACCTTCAGGGACAATTTTGCCATTACAGCCTACATGCCGCCGCACGCCATTGGTTTGTGGCAGCTAAAGAGTCAGCCGCCATGGTTTGACCACGGCGGTCATGATTTGGAAATCCCGCCATGGTTTTGCGGCAGCTTCACACGCCACAAAATACTTAAAACTGCACTTGTCTGACGTCTTACGTCGGTCAGTTGATACATACATAAATATATTTGTGCAGCAAGCAAATTTTTTTGAGTCAAGTAGAATTCGTCTTGTGGATAAATCTCGATTACCAGAAGAAAAGTTTACAACAAAGAATGAAGGAATTAGCATAAGAGTTTGTAAAGGATCGGACAATTTGACGACCAGGCGTGTTAATTATGGTAAAATTTCTGAAAACCCAAAACAACAGAATATACTGGCAATGATTAATGTCATGCGTAGGCTGCGACCACCAGCTTACCATGCTAATACCGGCATCGGAGTTCGAAGAGGATCAGACAATTTGATGGCCAGGCGTGTTAACCATGGCGGAACTTCAGAAAACCCGAAACAACCAAATATATTGGTACAAGATGATATCCTACGTAGGCTACAGAAAGAAATTCGTACGACCGAAGCAGAAAGAGTCATTAGTGTATTTAACAACAATACCTGATGTGTGCGAGTATAGCTACTTCAGAGATCGTAGTGAATCAGAAACTTCCTCAGGAAAAATTAGAAGGCTTTTCTACTCCATCTCGCGGATTGAATTAGTTGCATGATTTTCTTCCTATTTGTTATCAATTGGTCGATAAAGAATATCTAACACAGATCTAACACAAACTTTTAGTACAAGCAAACTGGTAATTAAACTTTTAATGGGGCACATCAGATTGAGTTCTTTACCAGAATACGGCGTAATGATGTACCCTTCGCTCAGAGACGTACCCGGGGGAAAAATCCCGTTTTGAGATGTATAAAAGGCAATTTTCTCTACCATATATAGCAATCTTCCCCGCTAGCTGTTACGGTATAACTTAGTTCAGAGTGGTCCAAACACAGGCCCGCCGCTTCATTATTTGTGGCCCGCGTCACATTCGAAGAGTAATCGAAAAATCGCATTTCGTGTTGTTTCGTCATAAAATTAATCAGAAAAATCTTTTGATATATTGTCATCACTAATGTCACTGAATTAAATAGTGTTATGGCTAGCTGGGGAAACTAGCGAAGTTGAATGATGTGCTTGGCAGTCTAAATTGTTATCTGGCTTACTAACTTTTTGGTCGGGAATATGCTACCGATATAGACATCATAGAAAACTAAAAACCGAATGCGGATTCTATTAGCCTAGAATGGCTAAGCCTGATAACTATGTGATTGCACAATAAAAGTGTTTGTTTTGTATTGCACTGTTTACCTATTCTTGGCACTATTGTGGCCCGCGAACAATGCAAAAATATTTTTTGTGGCCCGCGGAGCCGACAACCTTGGACCACCCTGACTTAGTTCATCGACTTCCAACATGCTCGCGACGGGGTCACGAAGTCTCGGAAAATTCACCCCCGACTCAAATTGATCATCTCCGGTTATCGATCGGAATTTCGATACCAGCTTCGGGCTTTTAAGGCAACGTTTCCCAGTCGCGGAGTATTTTTGTCGTTCTTTCGGAGGGATTTTGGAATTGTATTTGCTGTAGTATTACTTATATTTTTATTTCTTTTCTAATGCTATAATACTTACATTATTAACTACTTTAGCAGCGTAAATGCGACTTTTGTATAACACTATATGAAGATGCATTAAAGATTGAAGATGAAGTAGTTTTTATGCATACTGAGGGAGGATTAAAGAGTATCAAAATGTGCGGAGGGATGAATTTAACGACAAAGTTTGGGAACCACTGACTAGTCTTTTTTAGGCTTAGTCAACTTGGTATTTTGTTGACTTCGTTAGACCAGTGGTTCTCAACCTTTTTTCTTTCGTGGCCCATTTTTGTTGCCCAAAAATTCTTGTGGCCCATTAACTTTTTATTGCAACGGTAAAAACTACGAAAAAATCAAGATCTTCCTGCAAAAATGAACGCTTTCGCTTTAATAATTTGAATGGAAATTACCACTCAGTAGCAGAAAACAGCATCGTCATTGATTCCTGCTGCAATCAAAATTACCTAATATGACATAAAACTAGCAATTTTTAATAGTTCTGTAGCTCACCTTGCAATCTTTTTGTGGGCCATGGCCCACTCGTTGAAAACCAGTGTTCTAGAGCAGGGGTCGGGAACCCATGGCTCGCGAGCCATATATGGCTTTTTTGGTGACGGCATATGGCTCCCAGTGAAATCTAATATTCTAAGGCTAAGATTACTCTTGTTGCGAGATTTCAAACTCTTTTATAGCCAAATTTGCCAATACGTTTGAAAACGCGCGCCTAGCGCATGTCTATGTTATGTAAGGAAATTACCAGACAGGCATTGTGACAAAACTAGAGGATTCTGGAAAATATATTGTGACATCACAGAGCGATGAAGTTGCGAAGCAATTGAGAAAAGCTTTCCGTCCGTTCGTACGTGCTGGTTACAGTATTTGTCATATTTAAATCGGACTAGCAAAGCTAGATAGTAAAATACTGCGGAGATGCCTGAACGAAAGAAGGGTGAGGAGTAACGTAGATTTCAACTTGTGCTGCATGTGAGCCTGATTAAATGAAGAAATGCTATATATGGCTCGCTTGGGAATGCAATTAAAAATGTACCTTTTATGGCTCTCTTGACCAAGAAGGTTCCCGACCCCTGCTCTAGAGACTAGACAATTTTACTTTGATTATCATCATGAAAAGTCTCGATTTTTATTCAGGAGAATTCAAAATTCTAATTCCCGACTACGAGATTTTGCGCTCCTCCGTCTCACAGCTTTGTATCAAAGTATTCTCGATTCTCAATGCGTAAATGTTCTTATAAGTCATTTGTTTAGCTTGTGTCTCCTCCGAATCATGTGTTGTTTATACATTTAATCAATTCTAAAAAAATACCAAATTTTAATTCAACGAGGCATTCGATCTCCAAAGGTGAGTGTGCCGTGAGTCTTTTCCATGATAGTTGGCGCCGCACGCACAAAAAGTTTGGGAAGCACTGTCCTACGCGCTGTATTTTAAAACGTGTTTTTTTTTACTTTTAAAAATATTGAACAATTAATTTGTATTTAACAGTAACTACAATCAGCTTCTTATCAAAATGGCACCAAACTAAGATGGTGTTATGCTAGAACAATTATTAACTCCGTGATAGATATACATATATATATATAAAATATAAATAAAGTCGGCACTCCAGAAGTGTGTAAGTACCAATATGGAGGTAACGAATTTCATTTGCCTACTTTACATCAAGTTGTGTAAAGGGTACAAAAGCATATGGGCATGGGGTATATTCACGTGGCTAACACAAACACTCCCCGAACTCGTAATAAAACTAAAATATAGAAAATCGGAATAAAATTATGGCCTAACCCTAACCGGTTACACATACTACGGGAATACCAAAAAGACTTGACTTCAAATTTAAAAACGTAGCTCTCTCGCATGTAATAACAATCTAATTCTTGTTTGTAGCCATTTGAATGGAACGCTTTATAAATAAGGCCCTCGTAAGGTAGATACTCCTATTTTTGAAGATAGGTCATAAGCTCGGCGGTTGGCACATCGATTCGGCCTACGAGTCGTAGTTTACCAATGTCAACGTAAGAGGCAATTCATATGACGATTACAACCAGATTTCCACTGTTCCTGTTTATGCGATCATAAGTAAAAATAACTATAGTGATACATAGGTCTGGGTCGTGTGGGCCGTTTGTTGATGGTCTTATTTTGGAGCGTTTTCGTGATTAACACTCGACTTGAGCGTCTCTGACAGCACACAGCTCAACCGCACGAACCTGCCTCAATGATATTTGGAGTTGAGTGTTTTATAGGAAAGACGATCCTATGTGCACGTTCACTCACATTTTAATGGGATGACACACGTTTAATAGAGTGTAACTCCGATCTGAACACAGTATATTGAATGTCAAATGTTTGTATATTGTAAAGATACACTTAAACCTTAACACAAGTATACGTGATGAAACCAAATTTCTAACTAACAAAAAACGATAAAGACTAGCAATACTGAGCGAGGGAAATATATCATGAAAGACAACGACCTTGTTTCAGCCTGATAACATGCACTATGAACAATACGAGGTGAAAAATATTAAATACACCGTAACTATCCTTATGTACTCTCTCTATAGTTTTATATTTTATGTTTTTTTTATCATTGCATCTATTAACTAAAGAGTATATTACACAATCAAACAATCTCGTTATTATTAAAAAAGCTGATAGTTGAGAGGAAGCCCAGTCTCGACACTCGTGGAGTCATAAGAAACAACATCCACTAACCCTACATGCCTAACAAACTTGCCATTATAACCAGCGCCCAGCGGAGTGTAGAACAAAAAAAACAAAGAAAAATACTTATATCAATAAGTTAATTGCATTTAGTCACAGTTAATCGTATTTATTTACAAAAATTTTATTTCCTTCTTGCATTTTCAACTGAACGTAATATGAACATAATTAGGCATAAACAAACAAATGCTATCAATAGCATGAAACAATAATACAACCAATACGATCCGCGAGATGGAGCAGGGGAGCTTTCTTTGTATACAATGGATTCTGGTGTAACTTGAGGAGCAGCATGTTTGGCCATCGAGTTACCTATTCCGCTACGAAGTCTAGCGCTTTTCCCATTATTCTCTGTTGTAAACTTTTCTTCGGTCAATCGAGATATATCCACATGACGAGCTTCGACTAAATCCAATAAATTATTCGTTTGAAGTAATTTGAACAAATATAATCTTCTGTTATCCAGTGACCAAAATTTATCCTCCTTTTTAACGATTTTTATAAGTGGTATATCATCAACGTTCAATTTCTTCTGTGCAATTTTTCTGGCAACATCCATTATTGTATCTCCGTCTTGGAAATATGGAAGAATGGAATCCTGGGTGTATCGAACATCTGATGGGCGAACCCATATCCTTGATTCCTTACGCTTCCACATAAGCCTACTATAATGTTAAGCTTAGTCATAGGTTTTTCGAAATAAAGTAAGACATTTCATGGTTATTGCTAGAGATGTACCGATATCACTTTTGTCGCCGATACCGATACCGATACGCCGATGCTAAAAAATGTCGATATTACCGATATTCCGATACCGATACTATGTAATTATCACTTAATTAGGTGTGCTGTGTAGGGCAGAAGGGTTAAAACAACGATCTTTGAGCGTTGTTCATAGTACACATTATTTCAGATCGAAAAAAGAGATATATCCCACAATATGAAATTGATGTTTGGTATCCAGATGCTGATTAAGAAGCATTGTACAGTGACGCTAGTAATCTCGGTGTTCAATTAGAAAACGCATAAGCCGGGATGTCCAATTCGAAGTTAATGTTAATATCGCGACATTCGAATATCGTTATTCGAGTTTAAAAGAATATCGAATATCACCCGCACATTCTAGCGCCGCCGTCCTACGTTCAAATTAAAAGCATTTTACAAATATTTTATTACTTATCGATCTTAAGATCGGTAAGTATATTGATAGGTATTTGTCTGTATGTATGTCTGTGTGTCGGTTAGATGCACGCGATATCTCACGAAAGCGAGATTGAATCTGCTCCAGATTTTGCATGTGCATTCATCTCATCTCGGACCAGAAGCCTATTGATTTTGGGCGAATTATGTCGTATAATTAGCGAGTTATCAATCAATTATTGATATAGTGATCTAGATTTTTGTAAAGCGAGAGAATTTTGAAACCCGCCGAGTGTGTGTGTGCGATGCGCAGTGCGCAAGTTACAAGAGCGGATGAATCGAAACTGCAGTTTCTGTTTGGGGGGATCCCCTAACTATCGATCGATAAGTCTTCGGTTTCCAACCGATATTCTCGTTTTGTGGTTGATCATAATCGTCGCGCAATAAATCAAAGCCGACATGAAGGAATATCAATCAGCACCGACAAAAAGAAGGCCTACCTATAACTGTCGAGGATGTTTTTTTACTTTTACTATTTTATGAAATTTTACAATTGCTATCATATATTTTGAGACAGTCTAGGGCTAGGCGGTCATGTCAATATATCTATGAAGAAATTGTGTAGTTAAACAAAATTAATACCTGCGTAGAGGGATAATTGTGTCGGAATTTAGTTTATCGATGTCGACGGACTAAATGACACTCGTACTTGACGACTAACAGTCAGAATTTATAGTCGTGACCAAAGTGCATGTGGCGTTAACAAGGACTTCAATTCCACTGTATATGATTTAAAACTCGGCGCCTAGTTGCTTTTTGTTATGTGCTGTGTTGATATATTTCTTCATAATTACAATGTAATATTAAAAATGTCAATATAAAAATTTGACAGCGAAAACAGCTAAATTAGTTGAGCTAGTTTGCTGATAAATAGCTAAAAACAGATGAAACCTATTTCCTCGCGAGGGAGGGAACATGTATGACTCATAGCTCACGATCTCTCTGGACGAAAAATAAATTAAAAAGTAGTATTTCAACTTATCTTTTAGAACATTCTGGACCATATCAAAATAGTAAATATATCGGAAATATCGGCCTTTATCCAACCGATACCGATACATGGCCGATACCGAAAAATGGCCGATATTGCCGATACCGATACATCGGTACATCTCTAGTTATTGCTATACTTTTGAATATTTAATTGACATATCATAGAGTCAAAGTATCTGAAACAAATAACTAGCTAACTAATTCCATACCCGACATGGAATGGTAATCGGACGAGAAGCCGTGATTCGCAATATTATTAGGGCGTCTTATCGGCTTTCCTCACCCCTGGATAATTATTGGGGTAATAAATCCTAACCTAGTTCTGCATTATATTGGCTGCGCATCTTAGATGCCTGCACTGTAAAGCCACATTCGAAAAAGACCAATCTAATGAAGATTGAAGAGGTTGGAGACCAAAATAATCAGCCTTTTCTTACCGGACAAGCATCGAAACTTCAGTTTAATAATTCTATATTCAAATACACCCATGTAGTGTTCTATCTCTCATGCTAAATCAAACAAGAGAGCAACGCTCAAATATATGGACACGTGGACTAGAGCGAAGCAGGGTTTACCTTTGACGTTACCGGTACCGTACCCTCAAAAAGTTCCGGGTTTTCAGTCGCAAGAATTTTCACAGTCAGCCGTCACGCTTGGCGGATTAAAAACCGTGTTCCCATAATTAAAAATTAATACAGCGCAATTTTGTATGAAATATTAGAAGATCTCATAAGATTCATAGAAAATTCAGGAATAAATGAAAGTAATAGCCTTTTGGCAAAAAATCAATCTTGAACCACTGAAAATTCCAAAGCAATTGGTCCAGTATTCGAAGGGAAAAGCGATTTTTTAATGATAATGACGAAAGAAAATAACAATAACAACAAAATTTTGAAACGATCGTTATGGCCACTAAACGTGTCCAATAACAACCTTTTTCTGGCGCCTCCAGTGTCGAGTAGAATCACAAATGTAGTCACTAATCACTGCAAAAATGTGAGATTTGAGAAAAACACCCCTGCCATGTTTTTAAATGAGAAATTAGTAATTATTCATTCAGGATTCTGTTTGGAATGATTTGAAAATTTGATTTTTCAGCGCGATCTGCATTCTTATCCCTCTGCAATTACTTTTCTGAGTGGGCCGGATCCAGATAATAGACTTGCTTACTGGGCCGGAGGCTCAATATGAAACTATGAATGAAAACAGTTTATTCACACAAAAATCAGCGTAATACTAGTTTACAAAGTGATACAATCATTAATTGGACTGATGTAGGCTACTGAACGCGTCCAGTAGCTTATTTGAATCAGGCCGGAAGCTGCTTGTGCTGATTCTCAGACCGTTTGTAGGTTTGCATACGTCAGAGATCTGTTTTTATTTTGTTAATCTTCATACCTCGGAACAATAATTCGGATGGGTGAATTTGAGATATATCAGGTTCGTTTTGAACCAAATTATCAGGAAAAAGAATCACCGCATACTTACACGGAGAAAAATGCTCTTTTTAAATAAAACTAAATTTTGTGATCCCTAATGTGTAATGCTTTTGTTTGTAAACATGTAGGCCAAGGGAATAAAGGCAAGAGGTAAAATCTTCTTTTATTTATCTGCCTGATTTTCCTTTGAAAATTAGCAACTCTTGGCGCACCCTTTGGGAACCGCTGAATTACGGTATTTATTTCAGTCGACGATTCGTTATTTTGATTGATATTTCCAACAGAAATTTATATCGATAAAAACTATAGTCGTAATTTCAGCAGGCACAAGTGGGCCGGATGAAATACTCCGGTGGGCCGGATCCGGCCCGCGGGCCGTAATTTGCCGATCCCTGGCCTAACTGGATAATTACTAATTCTCTTATCTTATTTCGAGCGCTTGCGGGGGTGTTTTTTAGGCGAGGGCTTTGTACATAAAATCCAAGAATCTCCCCAAGCTTGGCAACCCCATACTCCTATCCAGCGATGGGATTCAAAATTGTAGGAATGGGTTCTCTGTTGTATCTGACTCACTAACAACGGGTTCGCTTATTTCAGAACATGTATGTCACTACGCTAAATTAACATAACACATTTTACATAAATCTGTTTTATGACTTTTAAACGTCAGTTATAACACTAGTCGTAGGTTTTGGTGCACGTTGGATATTTGCTGCGGTCGTCTAACGTCTAAAACAATAACGAGAATATCGGTCGGAGACCGAAGACTTATCGATCGAAACTGCAGTTTCGATTCATGACTCTATAGTGACACCGCGTGTCCCATCTATAATTAATTAATAACTCGCTAATTAAACGACTTAATTCATCCAAAATCAATAGGCTTCTGATCCGAGATATGATGAATGCATATGTAAAATTTGGAGCGGATTCATCCTCGCTTTCGTGAGATATCGCGTGTATCTAACAGACAAATAAACAAACAAACAGACAAATACTTATCAACATACTTACCTATCTTAAGATCGATAAGTAATAACAGTTGGGATTACGTGAAACTAACTACCTTTCGCTGCTCTATATGCCTTTGCGCAGGTGGATCCGTATGCGTATAACGCAAGGATGCTATAGCAAGAGTGAAAATGACTATTCTATTCAATTCAAAAGTCTCGCTGCACTCTAAGAAATTACAGACACTACGATTTTGTGCGCAGCAAGACTCTTGAATTAAACCTAACTGGATAATTACTATTAATTTTTTTCATTTTGATGACGGGGGTGTTTTTTGGTCGGGTCTTTGTATAAAAGATCCATCATAAAGATATTCCAATAACAGGTTTAAGCGTAACCCATGCAAACCGCTCCAAATTCCACTACTGTCTCTTCTCACTCACCTACATAAAGTGTGGTTTGCTGTAATAATATTCACAGTTACAATAAATCAACATAGCGCAATACGTGTTTACTTAATAACTGTTGTTACATATAATGCTAACAAGAGAAATTACTTGTCATGATGATACTGATGCAAATTATCTGAACGGAGCCTCAAATTATGCTAATCTTCGGAAATTTGGAATTATATTCACCCAAAGCTATATATCGCCTGGCTGCCGGTCCCAATGATCTTACAAGTCTGCCAATACCAACTACAATGAAGGTGATTCGAGTAAAGATATCGTTATTGCACGCGCACGAGCGTTGCTTGTTCGTTACTCATTTACAGGAAGCGGGCAATCTCTAGACGTAAAAAAAACCGTAAAATCCAATTGCATTTTCCTATACGTAATAGTGATTACTATCGATTGGGTACTCCCGTAGTGTGTGTACCGGGTTTGAGTAAGGCCATAATTTTTTCCCGATTTTTCTTATTTTCAGTTCTACTACGAGTTCGGGGACTGTCTGTGTTAGCCAAGTGAATATACCCCCTGTCCACAGGCTTCAGTCCCTTCACACAACCATATTACCTCTATATTGGTACACATACTTCTGGGGCGCCATCGATTAGGGTTCTACGTACTAACTATTTATCTTTCTTTTAAAATACAGTGCTTCCCAAATTTTATTCGTGCGGCGCCAAACTATCATGGAAAAGACTCACGGCGCTCTTACATTTGGTAAACGCTGGCGTTGAAGATTTATTGCTCCATTGAATTAAAATTTGTTAGCTTTGCTGGAATTGATTGAATGAATAAAGGACACATAATTTTGAGAAGACACAAGCTAAACAGGGTTTCCCAAACTTCTGGGGCCACGGACCCCTGTTTGTGAATTTCAATTTTGTCGGACCCCCTTCTTAAGCCATATCAATTTCTGTGCCTAGCCAACGACTAAGGATAATATTTCTTTCTCAACACACCAACACAAACGACACTGATGTGATGGATGATGTTGCTTTTCACTGCACATTTAATCAATCCTCGAAGCAATTTGTGACAAGCAAAATTGTGACACTCACACATATGTAGGTCGTTTCAAAAGACAATAAAGTTATAATTATCTTTTCTAACAGCAATGGACCCCCAGTGCAGTCATCACGAACCACAGTTTGGAAAACCCTGAGCTAAACAAATGACTTATAAGAACGTTTTTAAATTGAGAATCGAGAATACCTTCATACAAAGCTGTGAGTCGGAATGGAGGTCGCATTTTTAAAATCTCGTATTAGAATTTTGAATGCTCCGGAAAGGAAAATCAAGATTTTTCATGATGATAATCAAAGTACAATTGTCTTTGTCTAAAGAAGTCAAAACATATCAAGTTGACTTTGCCTAACAGTCTATAAAAAAAAATATAGTCTACGCCATTGGTTACCAACCTTTGTCGTTGAAATCATCCCTTCACCCATTTTAGTACTCTTTAGTACTACGCATAAAAACTACTCTATATTCAATCTTTAATGCATCTTCATATAGTGTTATACACAGGTCACACTCCTGCTTTTGTGCATCTAAAATAGGTAATGATGCGTGCATAGTAAGTATTATACCATTAAAATAAAGAACTAAACATATAAGTGACACCAACAACTAGGTGACACTACAGCAAATCCAATAAGTAAGTAAGTATCATAGTGTCAATAATGAACTAAAAATATAAGCAATACTACAGCAAATACAATGAGTAAGTAAGTATTATAGCATCAACAAAGAACTAAAAATTATAAGTAATACTACAGCAAATACAATAAGTAAGTAATATAGCATCAATAAAGAACTAAAAATTATAAGTAATACTACAGCAAATACAATAAGTAAGTAATATAGCATCAATAAAGAACTAAAAATTATAAGTAATACTACAGCAAATACAATAAGTAAGTAAGTAATGTATTTGCTGTAGTATTACTTATATTTTAGTTCTTTTTTGATACTATATTATAGAGTATCAAAAACGAACTAAAATATAAGTAATACTACAGCAAATACAATTACAAGTCCTTCCTCAAGAACGACAAAATTACTCCCTGGGGCTCCTGGGGTTGAGTTCCATTGGGAAACGTGCCCTCTATTTCTATAGTTAGAACTTCGGTCCAGTCCATTCCAACGTTTCCCTTAAAACAGTGTTTCTTAACCTGGGTTCGATCGAACCTTTGGGGTTCGGTGTTCCAGGGGTTCAACGAAGGTCCTCTGATAAAATGTTAGCTCTTGGATTTCCAAATGTGCCATTTTTGCCTTGGTAGTGTTTCTCCTGTCTCGTCGCACAATTTTTTTTCCGACATGAAGTCAACTGCTTCGGACGCTCTTGTGCCACAACAAATGCTATTTCATCACGGTGCATCGGTATCTAAGGTTACACCACAATGATCGTGGTGGTTCCAAGTATGACCGAAACAATCCCAAGGATTTTTTTGTAAAATATGTCAACAAGAACGAGGTCTGTTCGGATAACTATGTGTAGTCGTCCTCTTGCTGCAATTTATGTTTCCCTTTTTCAAACAAATTTGTACACTGTCCATTAAAGGTGGTTTGGGGTTCGATAAAAGCTCCCAGAGTAACGTAGGAGTTCGACAGGCTCGCAAATGTCAAGAACCACTGCTTTAAAAGCTAGGAGCTGAAGTCGAAATTCCGAAGCTGATGTGCC